AACCTTGAGTTCAACATGTGTTGGTAGATTTGACCATCCGATCATTGCTACCTACAATTATTATGGCATCTACATAAAGACAAAGAATGACATAACCATCTTCTATATTCTTGACGTAAACACATTTGTCACACTCGTTGATTTTGAACCCATTTGTCATCATGACATCGTCAAATTTCTTATGCCATTGTTTTTGTGCTTGTTTCAGTCCATACAAAGACTTCACCAATTTGCAGACTTTCTTCTCTTGTCTTGGAGCTACACAACACTCAGGTTGTTCCATGTAGATTTCTTCTTCCAGATCTCCATTTAGAAAGGCCGTCTTCACATCCATTTGATGAACTTCAAGATTCCGCATCGCAATAATTACTAGTATCATCCTTATAGATTTATTCTCATCACAGGAGATTATGTGTCAAAATAATCAAGGCCTTCTCATTATCTATAACCTTTTATTACTAGTCTGGCCATATACTTGTCAATTGTTCCATATGTCTTCATTTTCTGGTTAAAAATCCACTTAGAACCTAGTAGTTTATTTCCTGGTGGAAGGTCTACTAGTTCCCAAGTATGATTTTATAAGATGGAATCTATCTCACTCTTTATGGCTTCTTTCCATAAAGGACCCTCAGTTGAGCTCACAGCTTCTTTATACGTTTGAGGTTTAGCCTCTAGCATATAGGTTAGAAAATCCGGTCTGAAAGACTGTTCTATCCTTGCCCTCTTGCTTCGTCTAGACTCTTCCTCTGTTTCCACATTTTCATTGTTTTTAAAATTTTGACTATAATCTTCTATGATTGTTTCAAAAATTCGTTTTGACGAACTGGGCTCATCTTCCTTAGTCTTACATGGAAATACATGTTCAAATAACGATGCATTCCTAGACTATATTATCGTGTTCTTGTGTATGTTAGGGTCTTTAGATTCGTACACAAGGAACCGATATGCGGTACTGTTATGAGCATACCCAATGAAGATGCAATCAACTATTTTCGGACCTATCTTCATCTTCTTTGGTGTTGGAGCCATTACCTTGGACAAACACCCCCACACTTTCAAGTATTTGTAGGAAGGTTTCCTTCATTTCCACAATTCATAGGGCGTTTTATCGACTTTCTTACGCGGAATTTTATTTAAAAGGTAATTAGCCGATAAAATGGCTTCCCCCCACATGTTCTGTGGCAACCCAGAACTTATTAACATTGCATTCATCATATTCTTTTAAGGTAGGATTTTTTCGTTCAGCAATGCCATTCGACTGGGGAGAATATGGAGGTGTGACTTCGTAATTAATTCCATGTTGTGCACAAAGCGCACTAAATGGTTTGACATATTCACCACCTCGGTCACTTCTTACCATCTTAATCTTTTTATTAAGTTGGTTTTCAACTTCTTGCTTGTAGAGAGCAAATTTCTCTACAGCTTCATCTTTGCTTTTTAGCAAATATACATAGCAATACTTTGTGCTATCATCAATGAAAGTGATAAAATACTTATTACCACCTCTAGTTTGAACAAACTTTAAGTCACAAACATCATTATGTATTAGATCAAGTGGCTCAGTATTCCTTTCTATCGTTTGGAATGATGACCTCGTTAGTTTTGTCTCTACACAAGTTTCACATTTACATTTCGAATCAATATAAAATGCGGGTATGTGATCCATGTTAATTAATAGACGTATAATATCATAATTAACATGTTTTAGTCTACCATGCCATGAGTTTGAAGACTCAAGCATATAAACGGAAGACTCTTTCTTTTTATTCATTTTCTTGTGTTTTACAGTATGGCATTTATTTTCCACATGCCACTATTTACATAACCCTTCCCCACATACATTCTCATCTTAGATAAAACTATCTTATCAGCTTCAAATACCATCTTGAAGATGTGCATGCTCAGCATTGTCCCGGATATGAGATTCTTCCGGATGTCGGGCACATAAAGCATGTTATGGAGCTTCACTTCCTTACCCGAGGTAATCTTCAAGAACACCGTTCCTTGGCCCTTGATCACAGAAGTTACATAATTGCCCATGAAAAGCTTCTCTCCAGTTTCCAATGGAACTAGATCAGCAAACTCAGCCCGGTCACAGTAAATGTGTCTTGTAGCCCCAGTATCGAGCCACCACTCCTTTAGATTGGAGTCGACCAAGTTCACTTCGGAGACCATAGTAGACAAGTTGATATCAGAAATTTCCTTGGAAATGGTGTCCACAACATTGGCCTATTTATCCTTGTTTCACTTCGGCAGCCTACAGTTCGCCGACTTATGCCTAACCTTGTTGCTATTGAAGCACTTCCCTTGGAATTTCTTCTTGACAATTCCTCCCTTTGGTCCCAACTTGGATCCGGACTTTCCTTTCTTTTTGGAGCTATCATGCTCCACCACATTAACCTTAGCAGAGCTTACGGTTGCATTACAAAAATTCTTCTCAGTCCGTCTATTATCTTCTTCAATGCAAAGCATGACAACTAATTGCTCAACGGTTATCTCTTTCCTCTTGTGCATCAGATAGCTCTTGAACTCCTTCCAGGAGAGAGGTAGCTTATCAATCAGCGCAGCTACTTGAAAGGATTCACTAATAGCCATTCCCTCAGCATGTATCTTGTGAATTATTAATTAGAGCTCTTGTAGTTGACTAATAACAGTCTTTGAGTCCACCATCTTGTAATTCAGGAATTGGCCCTCTAAGAACTTCTTAGCACCTGCGTCCTCGGACTTGTATTTCTGGTCCAAAGATTCCCATAAATCCTTAGTTGTTTTCTTTAAGCTATACATGTTGTAAAGCCCATCAGCCAAGCCGTTAAGCACATCGTTCTGACACAGAAAATCAGAATGGTTCCATGCATCAACCGCGTGGAATGCTTAAGCATCCATTTCATCCTCTCTAACAGTAGGAGGATCATCTTTCAAGAATCTCGCAAGATTCAACGTTGCCAGATAAAACAACATTTTTTGTTGCCAAGCCTTAAAATTCAGCCCACTGAATTTATCAGGCTTTTCATTGTGGTTCACAGGAACCGAGACCGGCGAAGGCCGCATCGAGGTCAAAGCGGGGGTTGGGACCGAGATAGATGTTTGTCCCATAGGTGCCGGCTTCGGCGGCCTCGTGTTGCTTCCCGCCGGACTACCCACGTTCATGTTATCAGCCATTTCTTCAAAACAAAAATTTCCAAGTTAGTAAGAAAATTGACAAAAATTTCATACAATAAGAAAAATGTTTTTTTTCCTCTTGTGAAGTCCTCTTATGTATAAATCCGAATATGTTTTAAGATTGTTAGTAAAAATATGGATAATACAAAGAAGAACAATAACTTATGGAAGAACAAAATAACGAAATTGTTACAATACTAATTCAACCTTTCTATTAAACTCGGAAAACAAATTGCAAGGATGTCGAGTCACGTGAACCACGCTTTTCTTAAAACAGATTCGTCCCCTCTGGCGAGTGCTTGAGGTAACGTTGGACGTCTGTCTCCTAAGAGGCAACAACAACGGCGGTAGCTCGAAGCCCTATCGGAACTGTCCGGCGAACTAGAACTCGGACCTTCCCTCTATCACCAAAATGGAACTAGAAAGAATTGCAAGGAAACAGAAAGAAAAACGAGAGAATGAAGAAGAGAGCTCTGTGAAGGTGTGCTCTCAAATGGCTAGAGAGGCCCCTTTATATAGCCTGTTGCAGGGGATGTTACAAGGCTGAAATAAGGTTGACTAAATCCAATTTATTCACGGTTTAATGGTGATTCAATTCAGAGGTTACAACCTTTGAAACTTTTAGATGCATCTGCTCCAATATATGACCAGATTCGGAGGTTAAATGTCCATAAACCAAGCAATAATGTTGGTTATTGCTGCAGTTTCCGCACCCTACACTAATGCAGAATTAATCATCTACTAATGCAATAGTTTCGGATTTCAGTTGAAAAAAATAAAAATAAAAATTACAAAATAAAACCCGTACGGAGTGAATTTTCTTGTCCAGCATTCGTGTTCACAAATAACGGGCGCACACATAGAATCCTCAACACATCAGGACCGTGATTCGCTCTGTTGGATCCTCATCCATATTTCATTAGCCAGAAAAAGGGTCTGGCCGTACCAAAAAATCTGTTGGATCCTCATCCAAATTTTGTAATCTGGGGCCACATTACTGTCATAGCACAATAATTGACAGGCATGTCAGTCAAATAACCGACAATTGATTCCTATTCTTTAGCCAACAAAACAAGAAAATGATAAATTGAGTGTGGCTTTTTTCTTGAATCAAAAACAATAATTGAGTTCAAATGAAACAATCATAAACACGTGTAACGGGCCTGTAGTAAGAATATCCAATCCCAAAAAGCTCCTTTATTTTTTCATTTAGTTTTTTAGACGTGATTCTTGGGTTCTAGAACCAATCAAAATGAGTACTTAATATTATATTGGTGATTTCTTAATTAAATTATAGGGAGAAGCAAGCAAATAACATTTTTGTAGAGGGTAAAAAAAATTGAAAAAAAGAGAAAAATATGTCAAGATTTGAGATGAATTAAAATTAATAGGTTAATAGTTTACATAAGTTAATAAATAGATTAAATTACTGTTTTTATCCATAACGTGTCTGGTTATAAACTATAACTTGACAATTTATTGTCCATAATTCACGGTTTTTGTCCATAACTTGTCTGGCTATGAACCATAACTTATCTGGTTATGAACCATATCTTGACAAGTTATGGCCTATTAATTTGTATAACTAAAAATTGACCTATATACTTTCTTAAACTTTTCATATTGACATATTTTCTACTATTTCTGAAAAAAATTTATAATAGAAAGTTTGAGGAATTGTAACTAAAAATAAGGGTAAGATGAAAAAAGTAAATTCAAATGTTTAAGAATTTTTATTTACTAACTAGCTAAAATAATTATGCTATTACTACTTATAGTTTAAAAAATCATCTATATACTACAATTTTTGTTCAAAAAATTATTCAAACACGCATTGACATTTCGTATTGCCAGTATTTATGGTAACCTCCAAACGCCTCTAGAGGCTGCGTCCTCTTGAGGCTGCGTCCACTGTTTCGTGCGCATAAAAAGGCTGCTTCCTTCTTCATTAATCACTGCTCTTCTCTTTCCTCTGTTATATTTCCGCATTTTGTTTTCCTCAATATTATAAAATGGCATTTCTTCTCTCATCCACTCCGAGTAAGCTCCCTTCTTAAGCTCTCTAGTCCATATCTTGCATTTCTAACCGTGGCACAGACAATTAGTTTAATTTGGTACTTAATTCAAACAAATATTCGCTTAAACTTTGTTTACTTGCTTTTTATGTAATTTATGTGGTTTATGAAGTTCGATCTGTCCTTGGTGGCTGCTTTCATGCGCAACTTAGCATCCGCAATTTCATCTTTCAAAATTTGTTTTCAAATAATGGTGTGAATTTTTTATAAGTGGCATTATTCTTGACTTCTTTTAAGTTTTTGATCGATTCGAGTTTTCAATTTCTGTTTTCCTACTGTTAAAAGCTCTCACAATAAGTCACATCTATTTTTTTTTTGTTACAGTTAAAAACTCACATAAAATTACATCTCAGCTCGAATTGAAAACTTGAATTAACGAACTAAACGAGATCTTACGGTTGTTTTTGTTACTTCTTGTATTCAAGATTTATTTACTGCTTTCCAATATGTAAAGGCCTGATGACGGAAGTTGTGGTACGTCCGATGAATGGCGGAAACGGACTTCATAGCTATAGCAAAAACTCAACTTTTCAGGTGCATATTATCACAAAATTACCTGTAGCCTTATAACCTTATTCCATAATTAGTTAAAGACCTAAAAAATAACCATTACCCTGTTTTGCAGAGAAAAGCTATAGAAGCTGCCAAAGAACTGATCAACAAGGCAATAGCTGAGAAACTTGATATCAAGATTTTCTCTTCTTCAAACAGCTTTAAAATTGCTGATTTGGGCTGCTCTGTTGGAACTAATACACTTCTAGCGGTGCAAAACGTTATCGATGCCGTGGAACGCAAGTTTCAAAGCCAGGGAAAGA